TGGCAGGTTAACATGGCTTCAAACACGCTAGTCTGCATCTTAACAAGTCTTCAGGGGGCTTTCAATCGTGTTACGTTAATGGATTGAGCCAGCGTAATTGAAAACCACCCTAATTTTGCCTGTCAAGGCATGGTCTGGAAGGTTGTTTTCTTGCTGCTCCCCAGTGTTTTCCCTGTGAATATAAAATCCAAAGGGAGAGGTTGCCAAGCTGTATTCCTCTATGTGGATTCCTCCCCCCCGCCCCCGCTTCTGCACCTCTCAAAATCACTGGCAGTGTTGTTGCTTTCAGTGAGTTGAAGCCTGACCTAGAGGGAATTAGGAGTCCTGGGGATGTGGGTCTCACCCTTGCAGTATTATAGCTCTCTCCTCTTCCCTCCCGCCCCAAGCTAGGTAGAGGTTGAGTAATATTACCAGGATCATACACCATTTCAGTGGCAGAGAGAGATTCCAAGTCTCAATACCACAAGGGGATCCTGTGGGGTTCTGCTTTGTTTCATGCTGTGGCATTTTTATGAGGAAGCACTAACATAGCAGCTGCACCCCGCTAAGCTGTACAAAGGGAGTAAGGACATAAAGGATTTGTTCATCTCTAGTTTTCATTCTTAGCAGCCGTTGCAGACTGAGGGCTCAATCCAGAGGGGAGCTGTTGGAAGAGTTCAGAAATGCTTGACAGTATGGATTTTTGTATGGATTTGTGGGAGGTATGGATTCAAAACAGACCAAGCATTGGTCAAAAAAGGGAGGTGAAGAAAGAGAATGACAAAGTTTGTAGGAAGTGGAATTTGTGGGGAGGCTGCTTTCTAGCTCCCCTGTAGCACAAGGGTGACCATGCCGCCTCAAAGGAGCTTGTGAGGAGGCCACAGCTGTGGGGTGTCTTTGTGCCTTTGCAGCAGAAAGCAGGTTCATACCTGCTGCAGTAAAGTGCAGTGCTCTGCCTCAAAACTTAATGGGCTGGGAGGGCATTGGGGATGGGGGAGTAGGCGCTTTTTTATCCCTGTGCAAAGGAATCTTGTCTCACTTGTTCTGGACTGTCATCCTGATCCTAGCACATGAGAAGCAGTGTCCTCCTGTCGCCATGCTTTGGCAAGGGCTATTATAGCCAAAAGCCTGCATAGCAGCTGCTGCACGGATTTCTTGTGACATGCCTGGGATGTGGCCTAGGACAATGGTGGCTACTGTGACACCACTGACCTGTGGTTCGTGTCGTCACAGTTCTGCACGGTCCACGACTACTTGCTTGCAGCGTCGCCCTCACTTGGTGCTGCTCAGAGAGCAGCACCGCTTGCTCCCCCGCAGGGCCTCCACGGTCTGCGGGCTGCGGAGAGGTGAGTTGTCCCAGCGCTGTCGTAGCCGCAGTGTGGCCCGTCGCCTGTGGAGAACGGGCTTCACCTCCCGGCTTCAGTGCTGAGGTCCCTTTGTCTCTGATACAACGTGTTGCCATTCCTTCATGGTGGCTCCTGTGCCCTGGGGAACAGCATTTCATGCTGAGGCCTTTGAGCAAGCTCTGTGGCAGTGGCTGGCTCATGGGGGCCCCGTGGGCGGCAGTGGGTGTGCAATTGCTGCTTTCTGTGGTCCTGTTAGCCCATGGTCACCTCCTGGCCCTGAGGGGTGTCACCCCCCCCATGGTCACCTCAGGAGCCCTGTCACCTCCTGGCCCTGAGGGGTGTCACCCCCCCCCCTGGTCACCTCAGGGGCCC